GTTCTCATAAGAATTTGCCATAGGAAGCTAGGATCGAACACAGGCAATGTTTCAGAAGTGGGGTGTTAATTTGATGGGCAATGGGGGCTAGATGAGAGACATGGCAACCCAGAATAGTCAGGAAACAGCACAGTTAGGAACATACATAACAAATTTAAATATAATGAGAGTTGAACTTGCATAAGTCCAAGTAACTGCATTGATTTCCTCCCAACACTTCACATAGAAGTGGCTCAGCATGTGAATGTTTTAACTGAAAAGGATCTGGAAAGGTAGAAATCTACAGGAGACCATATCCGTGAGAAAATGACACAGTATGAGGTCTTTGGACAGCCATAGGAAGGTATGAAGGCAGAAAATAGCTAAATAGGAGTAGGTGGCCCTGTAAAGGGCAGGGGTAGAGGAGTTGGAGATGTATTGTAGATAACAAAACCCCATGCTGCCTATTTGAAATTCTATCAAGTACTCCAATAGTAAAAGATACTTTCTCAGGCACCTTAAAACTATCTTTGACTTTAGGCTGTCAGTGACATAGAATAGTATAATGAAAAACACCTGGAAACTGGAGTCAACTTGTTCTTGAATGTTTTTCTTTAAAGGGAATACATATGCATATTAGAAAATTCATAAAAGTAGAAAGAAGCAATTGTAGAACATCCAAGAAAATTTTTAAAGTAGTAGACAGCAACTGTTAAAATTTTTGACATTTCTCTCAGAAACTTTTTTTATTCACTTCCATTTTTTTTTAATTGTAAGAATTGAGCTTGAATTTAATCCCTGGGTCAATCCTTGAGCCTTTATTTTCTAGTATGTGAAATTTGGATCTTTCCTCATTGGCTATTTTGCAATAAAAGATATGAAAGATTTTTGGAGTCTATCAATGTTTAGGAACAAAGAAAATTAATGTTATAATTTTAATTTTTTTATCCTGAAAGAAATGATTACTAAAAAAGATCAAAAAATAAAAAGCAGCATTTTTGGTAGGACAGATGTTGAAAATAATTGTCTTTATTGAAGTTATGAGGGAGAAAAAAACATTCTCAATTGAGATGAGTTCATACCTGCCAGGGATAATCATCAGGACTAATGATATACTGAGATGCACTACCTTGATCTCCAGAAGATAAGGTACCACTACATTATAGAATCATTGTTTCCTAAACCAATATAAGAATTCACAGAAATACAAACTTCAGATTCAAGAAATTGATTATAATCAGAGAAGCCCTTATTAAAGTGTTTTAACAAATATTAATTAAGAAAATGAGGTGTAGATACTGAAGATGATCAGAGAACTACTAACATGTTAAAAAGTGCTAAGAATGAAATGCTACTAATGGTAAAAATAATTTTTTTATTTTGTATATGATCTCTCTATCTAGAGAACTGGAAAAAGTTTTTTAAATAGATGGCTGTGTCAGTAACCAAGAGATTTAGTTGCTGACTTCTTTGGAATTACTTCATATTAGAAATTTTAACATCTGGTGTATAACAGTTGGATTTAGCAAGTTAAATGGTCCTAAAAATCATCCTCAGTAAATTATGTCTGAAGGTGTGAAGGAGTGCAGAAAACCATTAATGAAACAGGCAACAGAATGTCAAAACAAGTTTTGTCAATCAGACTTCTGCATATATTTAGAATTAAGTTGGACATTTAGGCCTAATTTGTCCTCTAACCTCCAGGCATTGATGATTTATACCTTTCCCTGTGTTAATGACTCTAGTTAGAATTTTTATTTGAAGAGGTGTCTTCTTTAATTCCAGCCTATAGAATTAGACATTACCATGGAGAAAGATGACAATCTGTGCACACCCCTCTATTTACAGTATTTCTCAGGAAGTAGGAAATAGTGAATGGTCAAAAATGATGCAGAGAGATCAGAAGGATGAAGATTATGCTATTTATATTTACTGATCCTCATAAGGCTGGTTTCATAAACATGGAGGATGCTATCAGACTGCCAGGAGTTAAGAAAGAAGTCATGGATGGGCAATAGAGCAGACAGTATTAAAGTTGAATAAGTATTTATTAAAAATAGGAACATACAGGGAGATAACTCTGGAAATATGGTATATAGCCAAATTAGAGCAGCACATTCTAGATTATGAAATTGCACATTTCAAAACAATGAGAACCAATAAACATCTTTTTGATAGTGCTAGTTTTATAATTAAAGTACTACTTAGGAAGAGTAAAAGAGTAATCTTATAGCCATATGCATGCTAAATGAGGAAAAGTAAACTTTCCTGAATTATAGAATTTCAGTAATCATTTGGGAAAGCAAATGATAGATTTGAAAGAAGCAGAATAGATGAGATGCTTATAATAATACATCTGAAGGAAAGTTATGTAGGATGGTAGAGGTATGATTTAGTGTTGTTGTAGTCATATAAAACTTTACATGAATACGATTAATATACAAGCCCATAAGTGATAATGCTTAGTGCACTGTAGTAAATTAGACTATATTGTTTAAGAAAGAATTAAGGTGAAAATTGAATACTCATGCAGATTTAATTAACATTAATACATTAAGGATATGACTACACCCTTCCATATACATATTCCCTTCCCACAGTAGTAAAAAGGCCAAAGAGAAAGCCCCCTAGGAGAAGAGAAGAAGGCAAGATTTTAAATAATGTTCTTATGAAGGATGAAAAGCCAAAACATGCCAAAAGGAGGAATTTTGGAACTAGAACTACCAGGAGAGTTTAGTGAAACTGATTGACGATATGAATAGCATAATCTTCATCCTTCATTCTTCTGATCTCATGTATATAATGCATCATTATAGCTAACATCTATTGAGTTCTTGCTATATCAAATATTGTTTTGTTTTGTTTTAGTGTTGTTATTGTGATTTTGTGGGGTTGGGTTGGGTTGGATTGGGTTGAATTTTCAGCATTGGAGATTGAACCCAGAGGTGCTCTACCTGAGTCACTTCTCCAGCTTTACTTCATTTTAAGACAGCGTCTTGCTAAGCTGCTGAGGATCTTACTAAATTGCTGAGGCTCGCCTAGAACTTGTGATCCTCCTGTCTCAGCCTCCAGAGTCACTGGATTTATGGGCATGTGTCACCACATCCAGCTCAAAGGCTGTTTTAAGTTCTTTACTCATAGCAACTTTGTTTCTTGTAGTACCTGGGATCAAACCCGTGGCCTTACCTAAACTAGTCAAGCACTCTACAACTGAGCTAGCTTCCTGGCCCCTCATAGCAACTTTTACGACCCAAACTATTATTAATTCCAATGTAATGGATACATATATTGAGATACAATGAGCTGAAGTAACTGGTTTGATAGGGTAGGTGGTTGAGTCAAGTTTAACCCAGTAGTTCACACTGTGATTCTTCATTTTTAACAAATACATTACATTTGTCTTTCTAGATCATTGAACATAAGAAAAAAATGAACAAACTATTTTATGTTAGCTACATAATACACAAAATTTAGATTTGGATAAATGATTAAATTTTGTTTTAAATTCTAGTTTTTTGTTATCTTGAAGAAATGTCACTTGTTTTCAAGATCAGACTTCATTGTGACAAACTATTCGAAAGGAGTGTGATTTTAAGTTTGTTTCCTTAAAAAGAATCGTATTCTTAAGACAGCTTTTGTTTAATCATTTAATCATGAAGCAATAAATAAGAATATTGTTATTTGAGTTATAGTTTACTTCAAACATCAATAACATGATATTTATGAATTTCACAGATGTGTATGTACTTTTCTATTGTAGAACTCAAGTTATTCCAACAATACTTAACAAGTCTACCATTGTGTTTTAAATTCAAGAGAGAAGAATGAAAACTATCCAACTGTACATGATGAATGAATCTTGAAATCAAACAGTTGAAATGGATGACTTCCAAAATTCTTGCCAGATCCTTTATATGCATAAGGAACATACTAAGTACACACAGTTTTAGTCTGATCTTTGACACAGGACTGCTGCAAGAAGCATATACTAATTTGGATAAAGCATAATAATAGCATGTAAGGAGACTCAAGTGCAAGATAGACTAGACTCTCCGGAGCCGAACAATTCAGAAGTAGACTTTAAAAAAAGGTGATTATCCCTGGAATTCAAACCAAGGCTAAAGTAGGAGCAATGGGTATCTTAAAGCACATAACATTAAGATAATGAGGTGGAAATGTTAAAACAAAATAGGAAGGATAGATTCAGAAAGCATAAAGTGCAAAAACAACAGTAGTTACAAAAGGATAAAAAAAAACAATTTGATCTGAGCTGAAGAGAGGAGGTAAGAAGGAGGAAAATAAAAGTATTCTGAAGTTCTCAATTTGGTTGATGTGAAAAGACAGGAAAGAAATAGGACATACTACTATGTGAACTATTTGGTCTCTTTTTTAAAATAAGAAGAGGGAAATGTGTAATGAAAAAAAGGTGGTAAGTATCAAAAGAACAGAAAAGTATAGAGGACTTCCATGTTAGTAATGGGATAATAAGATTAATAAAATTTTAAAGCTGCAAAAATTAGAGTTATCTTTTTCTTGACATCATGATTGCAAACCTAGAAAACCCAAAATATTTCATGAAAAACAAAACTTTAGAATGTTGTAAGGCAGCTACATATCATAAAATAAATGAGTAAATAAGTAATTTTCTCCTTTTGTAGCATTATTTCCACATGAAATTAGGGAGTAAAAGTCTGTACATTCCCTGATAGATTTCTTAAAATCTTAAGTACCTTTGTTCACATTTTACCTTCCTGAAGACACACTAAAGACCAAGCTAAAACTGAGGCTTCATGATTAAATGACACCAAAGACCAAGACATGGGAAAAATTTATGGGGCTAGCTCTCTATAACTCAAGTACAGTGTGAACTCTTAACTGTAAAATGATAAAGTGACCATCAGTTTTTGACATCTGGGTCATTACTCTATAGCCAGTGTGTCCTTTTCAACTTGAAAACTTTTCCTGCCTCATTTGCTTCTCAGGTAACAAGAACATCAAGGTCAATCTTGCACATGAAGTTGATGAATGGAGGAAATCACTCAGTGCTGTCTGAATTTGTGTTGCTGGGACTCACCAGTTCTTGGGAGCTTCAGATTCTCCTTTTTGTGTTCTTCACAACATTTTATGTAGCAAGTATGCTGGGAAACCTTCTCATTGTGCTCACCATCATCTCAGACCATCACTTACACTCCCCAATGTATTTTTTGCTGGCAAATCTCTCCTTCATTGATATGGGAGTGTCCAGCATCTCCTCTCCAAAGATGATTTATGACCTGTTCAGAAAGCATAAAGCCATCTCCTTGAAAGGGTGCATCACACAGATGTTCTTCATTCACACTGTGGGAGGGACAGAGATGGTGCTGCTCATTGTCATGGCCTACGACAGATACGTGGCAATCTGCAAGCCCCTCCACTACCTGACCATCATCAGCCTAAGAATGTGCAATTCTCTTTTGGCTGTGGCTTGGACCATTGGACTCGTCCACTCTGTAGTTCAACTGGCTTTTGTTGTAAACTTGCCCTTTTGTGGGAGCAATAAAATGGATAGCTTTTACTGTGATTTTCCCCGGTTTATCAAACTTGCATGTACAGATACATACAGACTGGAGTTTCTGGTCGCTGCCAACAGTGGTTTCATCTCCATGGGCACCTTCTTCATCTTGATTGTGTCTTATATCTCCATCCTGGTCACGGTTCGTAAACACTCCTCAGGAGGTTCCTCCAAGGCCCTCTCCACTCTCTCAGCTCACATTACTGTGGTGGTTTTTTTCTTTGGTCCTTGCATCATAATCTATGTGTGGCCATTCCCTACCTTACCCATAGATAAATTTTTAGCTATCTTTGATGTTCTTATCACTCCTTTTATGAATCCTGTCATCTATACATTTAGAAATAAGGAGATGAAAGTGACAATGAGGAGATTCTTTGTTAAGGCTTTAACAAGTTTTAGGAAGAGTTCTTTTATGCAGTCTAAGAAGTTTGGGTTCATTTTGGCAATTCTTGGAAAGCAATATTTTAATTAAAAGATTTCAAAAATATTTTCAATTTAATTATTGTTTTAAATATACATTATGAACCATATCCTTAAGGACTTTATTCTGATGCGATCAGTCCATTCTAGGGAACTCTTGCTTAAAGAATTCTGAAAACATTGAGGGGTGAATTCAGCCTTGGAATGTTTATTACTGGAAATTTTGTTTGTCAGTGAAGACTTTGGGGACAGTGATTGCTAAAACCACACATACCAGGCATAGTTACCATTCCTAATGTTGGACACTCTTCTATTTGACAATGACTCTCAAAAATATCTCTCTTTTAATATACCTATTTAACTATATTCATGCCCTAAGATTCTCTCATCTTGAGGAATAAAAAAAAATGCTGATAATTGCCTAGACAGCTCTAACAATTACAGGCTTTTCACATCTGAATTTGTTCCCTTCACAGATTTAGGTAGCACTAAGGTTTTAAAATTTAGTTAGAATTGGAATTAGAAAATGAAATTTGGGGTAAATCATGGAGACACAAATGAGTAAGTATTATTTGACAATAAAATAAATTCTATACTACTCAATGCTTATGACAATTTTCTACCTCAATTATTTCCTAAACAATATCCATTGTTTTGATATTTCAAAGAAAACTATGTGATGAAACGTGAACTCTTGAACACTAAAACCTGTAATCTCTGGCCCAATTGGAGACCTTCAATAATTGATAATTCTGGAACACAACATAGCATAGCATGGACCACAAAATTTTAAATCTCTGGTGTGATTATTGAAGACAAACACAGAATATCAGAATCAGTTTACTGCTTGTAGTGGGACGTTTCACATTGTTTGGATTGGAGTGAGGGAGCCGCTGGTCCTGAAGTATCGAAGGAATGCAGAAAACTAGAGCAGAATTTGTGAAACTTATTCCTTTGAGCTGAGCTTGAGCTGACATATGATGTACTCTAACACCAAAGATAGACATCAGTGTCAGTAAGTCAAAGAGCCTATAAACTTTGTATTCTCTACAGTGTCCTATGACTGGAAGTCTTGCTTCTTGAAACAAATAGGAATGCCAAGTTTTTTAGTAAGTTTTTGTGTCACTGTGAGCAAAAGCTTGCAACAACTTAAAGGAAAACAAAGTTTATTTGGAACTCTTGGTTTCAGAGGTTCAGTCCACATACAGCCAACTTCATTGCTCCTGGGCCCACAGGGAACAAGGTCATCATGGGGAAGGGTAAACTGGAAGAAAGCTGTTCAGATAATGGCAAGGTCAGAAAACAGGAAAAGAAGGTGGGGAAGGAGACACAGAGAATATGACCTCCACCTCAAGCATCACCCAGTAACCCAAACACCTCCAGCCACACCTGACCTGCCTATAGTTACTTCCCAGTCAGCCCATTCAAACCAGACGGACTGATTATATGATAGCTCTCATCTAATCATTTAACCTCTGAATATTCTGGTGTTAACTGGAGCATTTGGAGGACACCGTATATCCAAACCACAACATCAAGATGGCTAATGTTTTGTTGTTGTTGTTGTTGTTGTTTTGGTACTGAGGATTGAACTCAGGGGCACTCAACCACTGAGCCACAACCCCAGCCCTATTTTGTATTTTATTTAGAGACAGGTTCTCACTGAGTTTCTTATCACTCCACTTTTTCTGAAGCTGGCTTTGAACTCTGAATCCTTCTGCCTCAGTCTCCTGAGTCCCTGAGATTGCAGGTGTGTGCCACCACACTCAACCATGATAGCTAATATTTTTTAACCCCAAGTCTGAGTTTGTAGGCTCAAAAAAATTTTGACAAATTTTCTTATGCTCTTTTCATAGATAGATTATAAAATGTAAATTGGATGATAGGGAAATTCAATGGAGTTCCAACTATTTTAATACATTCCAATTTTGGTCCATTTCAGTTTGTATTTTGTGCATGGTTGGAGACAGAGGTCTAATTTTGTTTTTCTACATATAGCTGTCCAATTTTCCAAGCACCATTTATTAAAATGGCTGTATTTTCCCCAAAATAATTTTGGAGCCTTTGTCAAATATAAGATGGCTATAGGTATGTGGATTTGTCTCTGTGTCTTCTCTTCTGTTCCATTGGTCTTCATGTCTATTTCAATGCCAATACCATGCTGGTTTTGTTACTACACACTCTGTAGTAGAGTTTCAGATCAGGTATTATAATGCCTCCTGCTTTACTTTTCTTGCTTAGTGTTGCTTTAGCTATTCTGGGTCTCTTATTTTTCAAAATGAATTGAAGAATTGTTTTTCTAATTCTGTGAAGAATGTAATTGATATTTTCATGGGGGTTGCATTGAATCTGTATATTGCTTTTTGTAGTACAGCCATTTTGACAATGTTAATTCTGTCTATCTAAGAACATGGGATGTTTTTTTACCTTAGAAGGTTTTCTTCAATTTCTTTCTTCAGTGTTCTATAATTTTCATTGTAGAACTCACCTACCTCCTTGGTTAGATTATTTCCCAATTTTTTTGAGATTATTATGAATAGGATGGCTTTTTGAGAGAATATTCTTATTTACCAATAACAACCTTGATCATGAATGAACTAAATTTCTCAATTAAATGGTCCAGATTGCCTGGATGATTTATATATATATAGTATTAGGCAACTTACAAGAAACTCAATAAGCCAGTAAAGACACACAAACTGAAATGATGAAAAAAGTTATTCAAAGCAAATAGAAACCAGAAATGAGCAGAAGTAACTCTGCTTTTATCAGACAAAATAGACTTTAATTCAAAATTGTAAAAAGAGACAAAAATGTCATTATATACTGATAAAAAGGTTAATATAACAAAAAATAAAATGATTATAAATGGACCACACAATTGTATAAAACAAATATTAAGGGATCCAATATAATGATACAATATAATAAAAATGAAAGACTACAGGACCCCCTTTCACGAATGGAAAGATCATCCATATTAAAAAATAAACAAATAAACATTAAATTATATTGTAGATCTGATGGACTTAACCAACATTTACGGAACATTTCATAACACTTGGAGAGTACACATTCTTTTCATCAACACATGGAACATTCTCTAGAACAGATCACATATTAGACCACAAAAGATCATCAACAAATTTCAAAAATCATAGCATGTATCATTTCCAACTACAGTGGACTAAACATACAAATCACCCAAAAAATAAACTTCATAAATTTTCCAAATAAGGAAACATATTGTGAAGGTACATTGTGTTATCAAAGAAATAAAAAAGGAAATCTAAAACCTCTCAAAACAAATGAAAATGGAAACAAAACATACTAAAATGTATAAGATACAACAAAAGTAGTATTATTAAGAGATAATTTAATAGAAAAAAGTGCTCATATTAAAAAAGGATTTCAAAAAAGCAACATAGTGATGCAACACAAGGAACTAGAAAAGGGAAAGGGATAGAAGAAAGTTGGATAACAGATCCAAAATACAGTTAACTTGGAAGTATAATTTTGAATGTTCTATGGTACAGTAGAGAAACTATAACTTAGAAAAATGTGATACATATTTTATAAATAAGTAGAAGAAAGAAGTGAGAAGACTCCCAACACAAAGATGTTTATTGGGCTCATGGTTCTGGAGGGGAGGAAGGTCAAGAATGAGGGATTGCATCTGATGTGGGTCTTCTTGCCAACCCACATGGTAGACAGTATCACATGTCAACAAAGCATGCACATAAGAGAAAAATGGGTCAAACTCCCCCCCTTTTATAACTCACTCATTCCTACAATAACTAACCTATTCCCAAAATGATGGCTTTAATCCATTCATGAGGCTGATGCACAAGGACCTAATTATCTCTTCAAGGTCTCACATAATCCCATTGTAAAGGCAATTAAATACGTTCTATGGAGTTGGACAAATGTCAAATAACATAATAAAAACATATAACATGATTTATTACTTTACTGTATGGTAGTTTGACGACTCTAAAATTCTATGTTGCATATTTATTCCCCCTCCATTCAACCCTTGCTAACCTCGGATCCTTTTACTGTCTCTATTTTCTGGTTGGTTTCTCTGACTTTGATATATGCATTTAAGCTTCCTCCACATGCCCAATAGAGCACAATTTTTCATATCTCTGGTTGTATACAAAATATATTCACACCAATTTGTGTCTTCATACCTGTGCTTTGGATAATAATGATCACCACATTCCAACATCATTTATAACTCCATGCCCACTCCCTTCCCCTCCAACCCCTCTGCCCTATCTAGAGTTCATCTAATCCTCCCATGCTCCCTCTCCCTATCCTACTATGAATCAGCCTCCTTATATCAGAGAAAACATTTGGCATTTGTTGTTTTGGGATTGGCTAACTTGACGTAGCATTATCTTCTCCAATGCCATTCATTTACCTGCAAATGCCATGATTTTATTCTCTTTTATTGCTGACTAATATTTAATTGTGTATATATGACACATTTTTTAATCCATTCATCTACTAAAGGACATCTAGCTTGGTTCCACAGTTTAACTATTGTGAATTGTGCTACTATAAACATTTATGTGGCTATGTCCATGTAGTATGCTGTTTTTAAGTCCTTTGGGTATAGACCGAGGAGAGGGATAGCTGGGTCAAATGGTGGTTCCATTCCCAGTTTTCCAAGAAATCCCCATACTGCTTTCCATATTGGCTGCACCAATTTGCAGCCAATTTAATATATGTTCCTTTGTGTATTCTTTATAAGTACTTGAAAACAAGTACCCCTAGAGATGCAAACATAAACCTCTGGTTTAGGTTTCAGAGTATGATGCCACTTAGGTTTACCTTATCATTTATATAGTTTTTAATTTTTATATCCTAACTTTTTTATCTCTGCCTCCACTCCCTCTTTTTGATTCACTTATGGCTTATCCATTGGCTTGTCAGGTTCTGGATGACAATTACCTTAGATAGACATTGGTGATCCCAAGTCTCATGTTGGTGATCCCGTCTCTGCTAAATCATTTGGTCAGTATTCCCCTGTGTTCCAATTAGTTC